CTATTTAGGAACAGAGAAACTTTTCCCTTTGTTCAGAGAGGGGTACACATGTAGCCTGAGGCAGGTAGGGGTCCAATGCTGCTAGATGCCTTGCTAGGAAGGGGTATGTGTGACTAGAACCAGCAGGTAAAAGAACAGGTTACCAAGTGCATCATTTAGAAGAGAGTGTTCATAACCCAAACCAAATAGAGCTTCAGGTTACTGAACTATTCCCTAGGTTTGCCTGTCTCTAGTAGAGGAACACTGTTCTCCAAACCACCAAGCCAGTGCACATGGTGCCCTTCTCCTTGTCTGCTCCTCCCATGCCTATATGTCAGCCAGATCAAAACATCTGCAGTGCTCTGAGCCAACTGACCCTTTGCCCTTGGAGGGTTTCACCCTTATTCACATAGCTCCTGCTCATTCTTCAAGACTTGGGACAGGAGTGTGGAATGCCTTCTACCCAATCTGAGTTAGAGAGCCCTACTCCTCACTGCCAGCCTACCCTGATGTTCTCATCCAGCAGCTATCAATCCACAGTAATACTGACTTTTCTCTTTCTCAGATGACTCTGCATTTTTAACTTAAAAAAAATTTACTGAGGGGCTGGAGAGATGGCTCAGCAGTTAAGAACACTGTTCTTGCAGAAGACCCAGGTTTGAGTCCCAGCACCCACATGGCAGTTAACAACTGTCCATAACTCCAGTTCCAGGGGATCCAACAGCCTCTTCTGTCATCCACAGGCATTGTACAACATGGGTGCACTCACCTACATGCAGGAAATACACACATACAAATAAAAATAATAAAATATTTTTTAAAATTATTGAGAATTTCATACATGCACATAGGGTACTTTGATCAAATCCACGCCCACCCCTCCCCTCCAACTCCTCTCATATCTCCCCATCACTTTTTCCTGAACAATTTCGTATACTTTTTTTTTTTTAATGGGGCTTTTTGCTACTGTAACATTCCTCCCTCTGAAAAGGTAACCCTAAAATCTTTTAGGGATTAGGTAAGAGCTCCCAAATACTTTTGACATTTTTGTTGCTAAGAGGCCCAAGAACATTTTGAGTTTTAGCTAAGAAACTGGTTACTTTTCTTTGGGGTCTTTTTAGCCTAACTGCCTAGCCAATTCCTACCTCCTATTCTTACCACAGTATCCCCTGATGAGGTTACCCAACTTGCCGATAGAGAATTGGGACACAGACTGCTTTGGCTTCTTCCAAGCTGAACAGGGACACAGCATGAGGCAATTGGGGTGCCCCTTCAGTGGGTCTATCTAAAAGACTCCCAAATTGCATAACTCTTAACTGTAGGGAGAAAAGAAAGTCCTTGACTGGTGCCTAGATGTGAAGAAGTAAGGGCAAAAGTAGTTAGCATTACAAGTTCTTGACAGGGAACCAGAAAAAAGTCAGAACAGGGCAAATTTCAAACGGTTATATGAAAGTCCATTGGAATTTCTTGACAAGGGCTTCCAAAGTATCCCTCTGTTGGGTTCCTCCTCATTTTCCTTTAGTCTGCCAAGGCTGGACTCGAGAGTGGTGGACTCAGGATTTGTTTTCAGGCACTTTTATAGCTGTTGGAGTGGATAGAATCAGTGTCAGTTCCCTCTCAAAGGCTTCTAGATAGGGGGAGAAAACAAATTTAGCCATCATTTTAGAACAATAGCAAGTTGTCTCCCTTAGCTACAGGTGGGCACTACAGTATTGCAGACCAAGATCTGAAGTCTTACATCTGAGCAGCACTTTCTGCTTAGAGACAAAATCATCACTAAGAAATAATTGTCTAACATTTTATATGGACTTAAGTCTAATGTCTGGGAAGTGTAATTTCTTGAACTCTTGAAGAAATATACTGATCACTTTAATCTTTGGTTATACTTTCCTTTTGGGTGTTTAAGACCATACAGTTGTCCCAAATAAACCAATTTAGTTTTACTCTTAAGGTTGTTTGAAGATCTGTTCCTCAAGGGTCACATGGGCTTGGGAGGAACCCCTGGCTCCTTTCATTTACCAGTTCCATCTATGTGAAGATCAGTCAAAGGTCCTACTTGACCGTGGCTAGCTTCACATAGAAGGGTAGAGGAAATGTTTCCTCTGTGTTGACCCTCCTCTTTGTAGACCGAACACTGGTTCAAGTCCATCTGGTGGGGTCTCCATGGCCTCCCTGAACAAGAGGACAGGTGACTCACGACAGTTATAGGACATTTTGAGAGATGTTCCATAGTCCCCTGGAATTTAGAGAACCTTGGAGGGCAAGGAGCAAAAACTGTCCTTTTAGTCCCTCTGACCAGATTAGTATAGGCCTCAAAGTATGGCTGTTAAACATCCAAAAGACTGTATTTCTTAACAGCAGAAATGCAGTTACGAATCCTCTCTGCATACCCTGTTCCTAGCAGTGCTTGGCAAAGTGCATTCTATGCACATCTCTTGAATAGAGAATTTCTAAAAGTCAAGACTGTCAAGATAGCTATTTTTTTAAAAATTTTATTATTTTCAATTTGTTTGTGTATTGCCTGCATGTAGGGAGGTGCACCATGTCGTGCAATGCCTGCAGAGGACAGAAGAGGGCATTTGGAACTGGAGTTATGGATGGTTGTTAGCCGCCTTGTGGATGCTGGGAGTCAAACCCCAGTCCTCTGCAATCAGTGCTTTTAACTGCTGAGCCATCTCTCCAGCCCAAGACAGCTTTTCCTCCAGCAAAGGGATGCTTTGACATCAACAATACCAAACACCTGTCTTCCTTGCCAAGGGGTCAGCTGTGTCTTGGTACATAAAGGACAAAACTTTTTTATTGTCACAGGACTGGAAGACTTTATTGACTCTCTTGGCTCTGGCCACTTTGAAAAATAAGAATGCACTTATAAGAGGATATCAGAGAAATGCCCTTTCAATGACATGAGCACAAAAAGGGGACAAATCCATTTAGCTGCTGGGCAGAGAAACAGTCCAACAGGAGTAACTAAGCAGTGCTTAAACAGGTCTTGCTAGACACCTGTCCCAAGGCCTGTGACCCAGTTCATTTGTTCTGTGACAAGAGGCAGCAGAGATACCTGCTGGAGCTAGGCTTGACTCTCCCCAGATACATGATAGCTGTGTGACTTGAAACAAGAGAATCTTAACTGTATGCATATTTCATTGCTTTAAAGTGAAAAGTTTCTCAGTTGTTGAAGAAAATGAGAAAAGCTGTTTAGCAGTGGCATACAGTAATCACTCAGTAAACATCATCACTGTTCCTACAAGGGACTGGTCATAAGGTTTAGTGATTTCAGACTGAACATCCAAGGGATCGTGAAAGGGCCTGCTTTAGAGCAGCTAGCCTGTCCCAGAGAGGCATCTGAGGAGGAGTTTAGTGGCAAGTTTTGGGATGGGACTGTTGAATGAGTGGTTCTAGTGCACCTTTGCTATTGGTATTGGTTCCAGCATCGGAGGTACCATCCTGTGTTCAGGGAATCTTTTCATCCCCAATAGAAGTTTCACATTCCGGATAACCTCATCTTCATTTCCTACAGCGAGGACATGGCACCTAAATTTTGAATTAGAAACTAGTAATTTACAGACATCAGGAATAGATAGAGCGCCTCCTGAGGGAAACACATTCAGGTTCAAGGCAGCATGAAGCCATGACAGTGAAGGGGAAAGTCAAATATCATACAAAAAACACCAATAAAATGGTCACTGACCATGTAGGACTCAACATGGAGCCCAAAACTAAAAAGGGGCAAGTGGGCCTGCCTCACTCCCTGAGCACAACTCTGACCAGAAGCTTAAAGTAAAAAACTAAAGTGTTTGATAGAGAGCCTCTTTATATAGAAATGGCTCAGGGCCCCCTTTCCCAACCCAAAACCCTAGAAAGGGAAAAGCAGAAAGAACTGTGATTCAAGTTTGACTTTACCTGGCTAGTGGCAGCTACCCCACTTGCAAGCCATCTTGGACCCTAATCAACTAGCAATTCCCCCTACCTTAGTGGGAAGAACAAGGGAGATGAAAGCAGCAGCTGGGGCCTTGACTCTGCATTTCTCACAAGTTACTGACATAACTGATTGCAAGTGCTCACTTAGTCTGTGCTGTAAGTTGCTACATTAAGATGGAACAGCAAAGGAATCCACTTGCATGTAAATGGTGGCTAAAGTAAGGTGCAGGCCGACAGGTATCAAGTCTGTTTCTGGCCTACCAATCAATCTGCCCACCTGTGGAAACCAAGCATGACAATCAGGAGAGTAGGATCAGAAAGGGATACTCCCTACAAAGAAAGTAGGTAAAACCACCAATAGCATAAAGATTAACCTACAGTTTTAGTGTACTGGTCTTCAGGCTTACAACAGCTTTTAAAACCAAAGCATGTCTCAGCAGATTGAGGAAGAGCTGATCTTCTAGATAGGCTGACTAGATTCAGAGGATGGACAAGCACTGGGCAACAGCTGGGGGCACTGACAACACAGTGGACAGTAACAGGGATGACAGAGTATATGGACTCCAGTGGGAGGTGGCTATGGGAGGGTGCCATTTGGGAAGTGGGTATATAGATGAATAAGATTGTTTGGGATATTCTATGATATACCCACATGCAAAAATCAACAAAAAATGAGTTATATTTGAGGAAGAAGCATAAAAATTTGCTTCATGTTAATTAGTAGAGGTGAAAAACATTGCCATTGAAATCTACCTTTATATATAGTATAGTATATATAGTATGGACTTTATATTCATACTCAGGTACCAAGAATCAGAGTGTAACTGACTGTGACTAGTAATAATCAGATACAGAGAGATTAGAGATGCAAGTGCAAACATCTGTTAGTAGCATTAAAAATGAGTTTCTGTAGGAAACAGTATATTTTAAAATGAAATGGAGTTTTTTTTAAAGGTTAAAACCTCATTCAAATTTATGGCTTATAGGGTTTATACCGAGTTCAATATTATGTAACTGTATTAATTCAACTGTGAGTCTAAAAATTTATGGCCACTTTTGAAAGAGATTTATCTTTGCTCTGGATATTGTTATTGAATGTTTTAAAGCTGAAATGAAATGCTTCTTCTAATCATGTGGTTATTAAATAAATTTAAAAAAAACCCGAAGTATGTCCACCATTCTAATGAAATTGGTCTGTGATCCACTGGGGGAATTAGTTCTAGGTCAGCTGGAGTTAGAGGAAGAGCAGTTTGGCAAGCTGCTTTGCAAAAACAACAGGAGAGGCATTGGCTGAGCTAAATATGGAGCAATTCGAATTGTCACCATGATTTTGGGCTGGCATCAGTTTGCTCAGTTGATCATCACCTACTGGGAAGAACAAGATGTATAATCCATAAGTAGCAAGATGGGTTGATTTTTAACTTAAAACCACTCAGAGTTCATTTTTCAATGTTCTTATTTTGTTTTTTAAACAAAACATCTGAAAGATTCTATAAAGAGCCAGAACTACCTTGTAGAGAAAGGCATGTACATTATTAAAGCCTTAGGAAGCTTTTGCTGTTTGTTTTTTAAAAGGTCTTGTGTGTACCTCAGGCTGCCCTAGAATCCTCCTGCCTCAGCCCTGTAAGGGCATAAACCATCATGCCCATTAACAGAATTCTTGGTACCTACTTATACTTTCTGGCTAGAGGTAGTTTTAACTGGTCTTCAAAATAGGACAGGTAAGTTGTGTGGTGTTTAGCAAAGCTGGGACAACTGAGAACAGAAACACCCACACAGACACAGCATCTGAGGGGACGGTGCTACAGTGCTGAGAACACCTTCACAAATGCAATGAACTCCTCAGCCACACAGCTCTCAGAAGAGAGAACTTGGGCTTTTAGGCTTAGCAATGCCAGGGCTCAGATTAATTACTATAAATAAAACACGCCCCCTTCCCCAAAGTCATTTCTTTTCAAAGCTTCAAGATGAGAGCATCATATTCTGAAATGCTAAACCCACAAGTCAGACAAAATAGTGGGATGATTTGCTACTGGATCCCAAACACTCAGACACATTGAGCAGACTCCTGTGTGAGTGGGCTCATTCCTGAATGTGAGTGGGCTGTGATGCACTCAAGTACTGAGATTAAATGCTAGCCAGATTACTAAAACACGGACTTTTGTTTCCTATGTACCTGACATGGTTTTTTCCTTTGAACTTTCTCATTTTTCAGAGCCATATAGTAAAGCATTCATCATTAGGCTGGGAAAATGTGTGATCCTTTTCTTTGAAACTACAATCTAATGATCAAATATGAACTCAGGTAGTGGGATCTTATACAGTGTTTACTGGCAATTGAGAAAAATGACTATCATTCAAAAACTCATTACATTTTGACTCAAGTCATGTCCATCTATCTACCTGTGGCTATCGTGGCATTTCTTCCACATCATCCTTTTAGTATTTCAGTCAGTCAGGGGCCTGAGAGGGAAAAATATGGGAAGCAAATATATTTAGTTTCTGCAAAGAATCATCCACAAAACCTGTCTTCACCTAGGCAGGGACAGGACACCTCATCACTTAAAAGACAGTAGCACAGTAAGACATTCTTGACAACTGTGGCAACACCTGTGCTCCTGAGGCTTTGGTCTGCACCGCACCCCCCTGGAGGGCTTGTTAAAAGCTTGCTGGGTCTCATGATTCACTAAGTCTGGTGCTGTTAGTCTAGGACCAGGCTGAGAGGTTCTGCTTGAAGCATCCCCCTTCCCCTCTCCTTTTCCCTAGCTGACTGCCTCACCTTGTATCTTCAAGATTGGCCTCATACTTCAATACTGTACTTGAAAACTGTTTACAGTCTCCAAATCTATTTTCCTAAGTGATCATGTCCATTTCCTGGAATGTAATTCATGGGAAGGAGGGGCTAATTTTTTTAACACCTGTGATCTAGGCTCTTCATCAATACTGTCCATTTTCTTCCTCCTTTTCCACATTGCCATTTCCAGGCAGGAGGCATTTCTCTTTTTGAAATCTAACAGGAGAAAGCATCTCAGGCCACTTCTGTTTAGTGCCTGGTGGTAGAATGTACCACAATCGTCACCATGACTTTTAGACACTGAATATATCTTCCCCATCTGAGGTATATCCAAGGCCTTCTCCCCAGGAAGGGGAGAAGTAAAAGCACATGGCTCCGAACTCAGTAACAAGGCCAAAATGGAGCAAAGACCTGAAATGGACCATACATTGCCAGGACCCTTCAGCTGCAGCCAAAGAACTCATCACACCAGCCATGCCTGGGCCACCTGGCTTCTCCTCCAAACACCTGTAACTCCCAACTCTGAGTGGCCTCTTTAATAACACTGCTGCAGCAGAACCTCAAAGGCTGTGGAAGGGCCTTTTGGATGGATGGATGGATGGATGGATGGATGGATGGATGGATGGATGGATGGATGGGAGATAGATATGAGGTGGTAGATATGCATAGTCTCTCTCATCCCAAAATGCAAAGCATTATCAGATTAATCTTCTCAGGACTGATAACGAGTTTAATTACTTGTTCTATACACTGAGATTTACTTAACAAATGATCTCAATCATAAGCACTATAGTTAAGATGCTTTATTTACTTTGGGTCATTTGCTGTGGGAACTGCCTTGTTTAAGAGCCTATTTCCAAGCCAAATAAAACAATGTCATGTGAAATCTTTAATTGCAATTGATTTCTGAAGAATTCAAGGCTAGATGTGGCCATTTCCCAACCACATGCTACTCACTAAGTACGTCACTTTGCCCCCTCCAAATGTAGTACTGAGTAAATAGCACTACATTCCTCTTCTCCACTGTTTCAACCAAAAAGTTGGACAGGAATTTTGATACAAATGAAATTGTTCCTTTAAAATGCTGTATGTGAAAAATAATCTCAAATTCCCTTAAACTCGTAAAGCTAACATTTTATGAATGGACTTCATGCAAGTAGATAATGTGACTTTTATCCACTGTAGAAAAACACAACAGTGAGATTCAGGGAACCATTTGCATAGTCAGCGAGGACAAATCAGAACCGGGAAATGAAAACTGTGGTGCTCGGCTTCGGTAACACTTCTGAGCAGATCAAATGCATGATCTCGATGTCATCTTCAAAGTCTGTCAGGCAATCTTCAGCACTGATTACAAAACCTGACTGTAAAACTGTTATCTCTTCTGGAAAAGCAGATTACTCTTAATTTATGACACTATTCACTATGCCATATTAAAAAAAGAAATTTAAAATGTAAAATTTAAAATACACCTGATACTAAAGTTAACGTGTGGAGCTGGTTAATACAGAAAACAAGCAGAATAAATTGATTCCTTGAGCATGCATTTAGCACCTTGAAATGAATATAATTTACAACCCTGTATTGAAAAGCAATTGTGTGCTTAATATTATGTTTTCTCAGGCAAATATTTTTATCCCATTTACTATGGGTATATATTGCATTCCTGGATGATTCCTATTAAAAGTATTCCAAAAAAATGTATAGAAAAGCATGGCCAAGAAAGATGACAAACAGCTTCATAAATGTGGGTCTCAGACTGACTCGGGGCTACCAATGAAAAACAGATTATACCCAAGGCAGAAGGTCTGAAAGTCTGGGGCTTTAGACCTGGTTTAGTCATCTAACTCTGAGCACAGTATGCAGCTGTTTATCTCTGTAAAATGGCATGGCTTCATAGAGATACTGAAAATGTAAATATATATATATATATTACTTTAAATCCCAGGTAGAAAATAGGACTATTATGTAACATGTTACAAAGAAAAGCTCCCAGAATACCTTTGCACTTAACTGTGGAGTTCTTCACACAGCACAACTGGGACCAATTTCTATACGAACCAGAGTTGGGGGGGTGGGTATTATCTATAGATCTCTCCCTTAATCCAATCAAGAAATGTTAGAAATATGTTCCATGGGCAGCTGTGGGGACTAGGTAAGAATGCATGGGACAGCACAACCCACCTTCACCACTGAACAATTCAGTAGTGCCACATCCCCTACACCTCTGTGGGTGCAGCTGTGACTCTCCACAGACACTCACTTCTACATAAAAGCCAAGGTGACTCTGGGGGGGCTGGGGGCTTCGGTGCTGCTGCCCTCCCATCCCATGACCTCCATCTGTACACCACTCTTTTGCTATGGTCAACTGACATGTTCTCATGTTCCTGCAAAATATTATGTAATGAGCTTCAAGTTCCCCTTTCCAAACAGAGTCACACCCAGACATCGGCCCACCTCATTGATAAGGAAATTATGGAGCTTCCACCCATATGAAGTACAGTTTTTAAAGGGGACACAGTGATTATATTCTGTGTAGGAAGGACAATCACACTTTGGGGAAAAGCAGTAGTGGCCCACCCTGCAACTAGGACAAAATATCTCCCTAAGGGAGAGGTGTTCTCCCATGTGACCAAAGCAGTGCGCACTTAACAAATAACCTCCATGTATTTCAGAGTAAAAGCACTTAGTTGATACAAAAAAAGAACACTCTGCCAAGCAGGTCCCTGAATGACAGACACTCTTGATAATACTTTTGAGACACGTGGCTTTCCCCAGCAATTCCAGGCAGTCACTTATTCCTCATTTTGACAAAGCAGCATCCAAAACTTCAGGCACACTGCATGTATAACTGTACATGCAGCTGAACAGTCATAAACATGCCACATACAAAGGCATGTCAAAAAGACATTTTTCTTCCCCAAAGCATGGCCCCAAGAAGTCATTAAACAGAGCATGAGTTTCTGCTGCAGGTTCTGAAACTATGGAACACTAACAATGATTCCACTTAGGATGTACAGCATCATCCACTGACCAGGGTTTGCTGCACACCTAAACCACCATCCCCACTTTATTACAGCAATCTGTATGGATGAACACGTCCTCTTTCAATAGAACACAAACTATGAGGATTAGGCCAAGTACAATGCAACTGCTGGTGATGCCCATCTGCAGACAAGTGGAAGAACTTAGCAGACCCATACCACTGACATCTCTCCTGAGGCCCCAAACTGAGAACTTGATTGACATATCTTGTTGGCACTGAGTGAACCAGGCTCAGTGGCAAGCCTTGTCGAATACAGACACAATTTCATTCAGGAGTGTGTTTAGAATCAGCTGCAAACTCAATGCTATTAAAAGCTCTACACAGAAGGTATGCAAAAGCTGTTACTAGTTTTCCAGGAACAAAGACAGCTGCCAAGGAGCAAGAGCTCTGGAAAGGCAGCTGTAGGTAAATGGTGAGCTAACAACAAAGTGACAAATACAGTATAGCATGTGCCCCCCGCCCATAAAAGAAAACCACTGCTCTGATGTTTTTAAAGATTCCCCACATACGATTTTCTAAGAGAGTCAGTCTGCTGCTGTGTGTGAAGAGGAGTCAGCCTGGTGGTAGAAGGACCAGGAATGTCAGTTAGGATACTGAAGACTGTATAATAGGGTCTCCACAACACTCACTCAGCTACTGGGCTCTAGCTGCACCCAGAGCTCTTTTCATGTGGTGTTTTGAAAAAGGTGGCTGGAGCTGAGTCAGTGGCTTTTTCTGCTGCAGAGGTCCTGCTCAACCACTCTGAGTCTGGCAGCTTCTGGGCGGGTGTGGCTGGATCCCGGGCATCTGGGTGTGCTGTGTACAACAACAAAAGGAAGGAGGGAAACGAGCAAGGGGAGATGATTATAAGAAGTCAGAATGAGAGGCATTTAGAATCAAGTTTCTTAATCTTTGTATTAACCCAAGTGGCCTCAAAAGGTTCATGTTTTTCTATACACACACACACACACACACACACACACACACACACAAAATGAAGGCAAAATTTGGTACCATCTCTCCAAGAAAACAGGTTAAATTTGATAAATGAATAAATTCAGTAGCACAGAGTCACAATGTAGAAGAAAAAAAAAAAAAAAAACTCAACCCATTAAACACGTGTGCCAGGCACTGTACTGGAAACACTGGAAACACTGCATACTCATGGCTTTCCCCCACCTCACTCTTTCCCTTGTCTCTTCCCTTCCCTATTTTCTTCCCTTCTCCTTGTTCCCTTCCCCCTTCCATTCCCTCCTCCTCACCATCCTCTCCGCCCCCCACCCCCTTCCTTCACAGGGTCTCACTATGTAGTCCAAGCAGGCTTCAAACTCACAATCTTCCTGCCTTGGCCTCCAAATGCTGGGATTACAGGTGCATGCTATTACACCTGCATGATCTTATTTCTTAACACAAACTCTTGGAAGTAAATACTGTCATCTCCATTTTATGATCAGGAAACTAGGGTTTGGAGATCAAAAGAAGCAACATTAAATTCAAATACTAGACCCCAAGCCCTATGCTTTTTATACCATACCCAAGCCACTAATACGATGATGTCACCAATAAATACAACAAGGAAAATGATAGAAAACTAACAGCATCAGGCACAGTATATTAACGAAGTTATCAAAGTTGTTGTACACCAGATAATCGTTGCTGGTGTGGGGCTGTACTGTATATCTGAGAACACTTAGCATTCTGGACCCTACCCACTGAATGCCAAGAACATTCCCTGTCACTGTGCCACCCAACAATCTCTTCGCATTTCCAAATGCCCCAGTGGAGTAGGACAAACCACCCTCACCACTACACTCCACCAAGGATAAAAACATCCTAAGATAATCAGCAGCAAACACAGATTTTACTGTCACCCAGTACTTCTCCCAAGAATGTAGCCTAGAATTGTATTTTTCTAATATGTATATCTACAAATATATTCAAACATGAATTTCTTACTGTAGGTTAACATTAAAAAAAACTTGAGGGGTTGGAGGGAGTCAGCGTTAAGAGCTCTGGATGCTCTTGCAGAGAACCTGGGCTCAGTTCCCAGCACCCACGTGGTGGCTAACGACCATCTATAAAGCCAGTTCCAGAGGATCCAACGCCCTCTTCTGGCCTCCGTGGGAATTGCACACGTGTGCACTCACATGCATGTGAGGCAAAACACTCATACATATGAACTAAAAATAAATTTTTAAAAAGCTTGAAAACTTACTCTACTACAGCTCATATACAAGTTTCTTGAGAGCAACAGCTTTCAAATGCGTTAGAATCTCAACAACAGCATGAAACACATTTGACAGTCATATAGATATACACTCATACATATGCAATCTTTCAAATTTAACTGAAAATAAACTTCACAAAACCATACTTATCCTTCCTACACAGTCAGAAATCACAGTGAAGAAGTTTATCTTTGAAAAACTATTATTTTTATTATGGTACAATTTCCATAGTTTGCTCTTTAACCACTTTAAGTACACTCAAATGATGCATAGCTGTCCCTACCATCTACATCAGAAAATCATCTCTAATGCAAGCTCTGCACCCCATAAGCAATGACTCCCTACTCCCCTCTCCTCCAGCCTGGAGAGAATGCTCTACCTTCTGCTTTCTGAGTTCACTATTCCAGGTAGCTCATTAAAATGGAATCATACAGCTGATGGCATGGTGGCTCACAGGAGGCAGAGGCAGGTGGATCTCTATGAGCTTAAAGCCAGCCTGGTCTACATAGACAGTTCCAGGTCAGCTAGGGCTACATAGTGAGATTTATTTGTCCTTCGGTATCTGGCCCATTTAATGTGTCTTCATCCATGGCTGCAAGTTTCTGAATACTGAAGGGTTTGGGCTAAATAACACTTCATGTGAGTGCTCCACAATTTGTTGTCCATTCATTTGGTCATGGACATGTGGGTTGTTGTGACTGCTGTGACTAATGCTGCTGTGAACATCTATATACAAAAATCTCTGCTTTTAACTATTTAGATGATATATCCAAGGAAAGTTGATAGATTCCCTGAGAGTTTTATATTTATTTTTTTGAGGAACCACTAAAGTTTTCTACAGTGATGCACCATTTTACATTCAACAAGAAATGTTCAAATGTTCCAATCCCATATCTGCCAACACCTGATATTCTCTGGTTTTTCAGCGGCCAATGAATGAGTGCAAAGTTACCCAGAAGAATAAGTCTGCACTTAACTCTCTACAGGAACAGTATGGTTTCTTTTTTGTTGTTGTTGTTTTGCTCTTTTTGAGACAAGGTCTCCCTGTATCTCCAGCTGGCCAGAAACTATGTAGACCACGCTGGCCTTGATCTTACAAAGATCCACCTGCCTCTGTCTCTGAGTGCTGGGACTCAAGGCATGTACCACCATGCCCGGCATTCACAATAGTATAAAACAGGATATGATGCAAATACCCAACAAGAACTACAGCACAGTCTTCACCTTCACACAATGGATTACCATACATATATCATGTGTACGAGTATACTGCCTGGTCGCAAGTCTCTGAATACTGAAGGCTAAATAATACTTCATGTGCACGCTCCACAATTTGCTGTCCATGCATTTGGTCATGGACATGTGGGTTGTTGTGACTACTGTGACTAATGCTGCTATGAACATCTATGCACAAAAACCTGTTTTAACTATTTAGATGATATATCCAGAAGGAATTTTCTAGAATGAAACATCATGATCTCAGGAACAGAACAGGGTGAAACTTGTAAAATATGACATACAAGGGCTGGAGAGATGGCTCAGTGGTTGCAGAGCACTGGCTGCTGCTGCAGAAGACCCAAGTTTGAGTCCCAGCACCCACATGGCAGCTAACAATCGTCTCTAACTCTAATTCCTGGGGATCTGATATCCTCTTCTGTCCTCCGCAGGCACTGCATGACACAGGTGCACTTACATAATGCAAGCAATACACTCATACACATAAAATAAAAATAAATTTAAAAAAATTTTAAATAATAGTTTGAATTCTTTTATACCAGAAACATTAAAAATCAGACAGAATATTCTTTAAAGATACATATATGTATCTATTAAGACTACTTGCAAAAAACAAAAGTGATGTTTTTTTTTTAGAAAGCAGAATTAGGGCTGGAGAGATGGCTCAGCAGTTAAGAGCACTGGCTGTTCTTGCAGAGGACCCAGGTTTGGTTCCCAACACCTACATGGCAGCTAACAACCATCTGGTAACTCCAGTTCCAGAGGATCTGATGCCCTCTTCTGAGCTCCACAGGTATCACATGACACAGGTGCACTTACATACATGCAGGCAATACATTCAAACACATAAAATTTTTTAAAAAATCAGTATTTTTTTAAAAGCAGAATAATTGTTTCCTCTGAGGAAAGTGAGATTTTAAAGGCAATGCTCTTTTTCTTAAGGTAAATAATAGATACTAGCTGCAATTTTTTAAATGTATTTACTATAAATGTTCTTTTACAGCAACCCAATATTTACTAAGGGATAATATGGAAAATACTATTTCAAATTTAAAATACTATTAATTTATTTATACAACCAATACCTACTAAACCTGTTCTAGTGCTAGGTATCCTTCTAGATGCTGGGGGGACAGCAGTGAACAAACAAATTAAAAACTCCTGCCCTTCTGAACACACACTGTTAGTCTGGTACTCAGAGTAACTAACAGATTAACTGCTTTATAGCTCTCTGAATGATGGCCTAAGAGCACACATGATATTCTAGGGAAAGGAAGTTGGGGAAAGGCTTTAGGAACAGCCCAAACAACCCAGAATCTCCAGCGGTCCTTGTTCTCTATAGTAAAAGCCATGGTTTATCTTTAGAAGGTGGGAGTTGCATGCCAAGGGCTCTGATGAAAAAAATAATTTCAAGCCTGGGTTTCATCTGAGAGCTTTATGCCTCTTATAGCTACTTAGTCTCAAGTTTTGAATAATCATTTTTTTCTTTTCCAAGTATATTCTTTTTTAAAAAAATATTTTATTTATTATTTTTATTTTATGTGTGAGTGTTATGCCTGCATGTAAGTGCATCTGTGTCATGTTAACACCCACGGAGGACAGAAGAGGCTGTCAGACACCTTGGAACTGGAGTTATAGACAGTTGTTAGCTGCCACGTGGGTGCTGGGATTCGAACCCGGGTCTTCTGCAAGAACAGTCAGTGTTCTTAACTGAGGAGCCATCTCTCTAGCCCCCAAGTACATTCTTTAAGAGCCTATCTAGTTCTTTAAGAGCCTAGCTGGTTCACATTCTTTAAAAGCCTAGCTAGTTCACTTTGGCATGAGGTAGAGGCTTGATGGCAATTGCTGTCCTGGTGTACCAGTCCTAGAAAAGGTTTGCACACTTACTCACTAGGATCCAGCTCTGTGCACTCAACACCTGCATACTATAAAGCCAGAAAAGGGGATGGGGGGAAGCAGAGACAAAAAGAAAATGACAGTGCTATAGTTTGAGAAGGGTCTACTTAATGACCCTTGGAAAGGGTCCTTTTCCCAGCATTTTGTAGTATTAAAACAAAAAACCAAAGAAGACATGTGTGTCCTTTCCTTTATTTCACCTCTCCAGCCTTACTAATATCTTTAAATTCCGTCAATTTCAATTCAAAACTTTCCTCAGTGGGGAAGGAAAGAGGGAAGATTTGTGGCTGCATGTTTAAAAAAGAAGCTGAATTCATCACAGTGACAGGGGAGAGTGTTGGCAGAGATCTGAGCTATTTATTCTTTTAGGAAAATCCTATAAAGAATGACACAAGGAAGCCTCTATCTGTAGTCTTGTTCATCACACTAGTGAGGAGCTGATAACAGATGTATGCAGTAACGTGATTTAGTGCCAGGAGCTGGCCCTGATGGGTATTAATACAGCAGCAAAGCGGGACGCACCTCTCTTCATCACTCATTTCTATAAAAGAGGTGGAATCTGAGATGGCCCGATGTTAGGCAGAGCAAACCCATTTGTTCTCCTGACTGATGGCGCAAGCTCAGGCTATGTCCTTCACCTCCATGGGGCACTGAGGTTGTGAGTAGGGGAAAAAAAAGTGCTCAGTGAAGCAGGGCTTAGTCAACAAGTGAGAAGATAGAGCTGGTTCCCTAGGGGACACATTACTGCTGATGTCTTCTTTAACACAGACAAATATATTGCCCGATTTGAATATGGAAGAAACTCTTCCCAATATTTTTACCCCCTCAGGAAGCATCGATAGCTGGGCTGGGGGGTTGCAGCTCAGCAGTAGATCATTTGCCCTTGAGCACGAGGCCCTAGGTTTGATCCCCAGATTAAAAAAGAAAAAGTTAAGTATTAAGGAGGAAAAACAGAACAAAAGGCAAGAAGGAAGGTTTAGTTTTAATTCTTTAAATAACATACATTGGATGAGGACCTGAGTTTCACAGTTTGGAATTAATCATATTGTATATAAAAAGAAAGAATACTTCTACTTGAGTGTTTAAAAGGGCAACCCTAGAGAATGAGGAAATGGTCTGATCTTGACTCTACAACTTACTAACACATGACTTCAGAAAGTGACTCGTTTCAATTTCCTCTTATATAAATGGGGATAATTAGAACAGCATCTATCCTTGAAAGCTACAGCAAATATTAAATGAAACTACAAACCAAGTACCCAGCTCAGGGCCTGGCCAGGTGGAAACCACTACAAAAATTCACAGTAATAAGCAGGCCTGTGACTAAGATTATCCAGTATGAGCCACCAGTGAGCAGTTACCCCAAGCAGATAAAAAGGTCCATTTCAGAGTATGCCAAAACTCACTAAGCAAAGGCAAGGGGTAGGGTCCACATTTGTCTGTTCCCTGTCTTTACTCAGCTAACAACTGATTTGAAAATATAGTATGTAGTTCAGGTTAAAGATGCCTTATCCAGTGTCTGGGACCAGAAGTGCTTTGGGTTTGGATTTTTCTCACAAACGTTATACACATAGCCTGAAAGTAATATATATGCTATTTTTACTGTGCCTATGTTTTGATTGCAATCCATCATATGAAGTCAGGTGTAGAATTTTCCACTTACAGACTCATGCCAGTGCTCAAAAGTTTCATATTCTCCATTATTTTAGATTTTAGATTTTTAAATTAAGGACTCAACCTGTAGTTTCTAAGGAAAGTAATGGTGATGGGCTTGATAGACAGCATTCCTGATAACATACATATAGTAAAACACAGACATCTTCTGTGTTTGACTTAAGAATCTCTAAATACATGAACATGATATGATGTCACCCTGCCTGGTTTGCAATGTAGAGCATTTCCAGAACCCTGGGTTTTCTGGTGTCCTTTCTTGGTCACTCTAACCAAAAATAATTTGGTGACCAAAAATAATCATTATTTTGGCTTCTATCAACTATTGTAAGTTTTACATAGAAAACTAAAAAGTTTTAACCTGAAAAAATAGCTTCTAATTAGACATTCCATGACAAGTAAACTATTACCACTGTATTATATCTAACCAGTGAGAACGTATTAATCAGTATACCAATTAAGAAAGGAAATGAATCCAGGTAACCCCTGACTACTGACCACACGGCCACCCAGTTAACATGGACCTAACTTCCTGTCTGTGCTTCAAGAAAAGTGCAGATGACTAGGAACTATTGATAGTGAAAATACAGAAAGCCAGCGACAGAGTGAAAAAGCACAGACTCTAGGGTCAGAGACAGCTGGGAAAATTACTTATCACCATTTGTTTTCCTATGTAAATAGGAGTAAAGATTCCTTATCACAAAAATTACATGAGAAGGTATATGAAACATAATTTAGTGGCTATAAACAGTAGGTGCTCAATAAATGACAACTGCATAGAATCACCTGCACCAGGGCTAGAGAGAGATGCTGTGGCCACAGGTTTCCGTTTCCTCTTAATGTCACGTGAACATGGTAGTCCCCACTGTACATTTGCCTGTCTGCAGAAATGAGAATAAAAAAAGGGGGGGGGTTAACTTTGCAATTTTACTATCCAGATAAAATCTTTGACCCATTATTGACATATACTAACAAAACTGGCATCATCCTTTGCCACTAAATGCAACTTGTGCACACAACCCTTCGGAATTAACTGCAATCCATAATTGCAATCCACTCTCAAGTTCTTACCTGATTTCAGAGCAGACATTCAAGATTAGTTTCAAAAAGAGTTTCATTACATGATGATTTTTGTACAATTATTTTTCATGAAAATTATAACTGCAATTGTGTTAAACTCACTAATGAAATGCCTATTCCCAAGTGATAATATATTGAAAAGTTTAATGCTGCATGAATAGAGGTATTTGTTTAGAGTTTTAATAGAAAGTTTAACTCTTCTTCTACTAGGTAATCTAGATTTTTAATACTGTTTATACCACAAGTTAAATGTTTGGTTTCTGTGACTTTTAAAATATTTTATTTATTATTTTTATTTTATGTGTATGAGTGTATTGCCTGCATGTATGTGAGTGCACCCGTGTCATGCAATGCCGCGGAGATGAGAAGAAGGCTTTGGATTCCCCTGGAACTGGAGTTAAGGACAGTTTGTAGCCACCATGTGGGTGCTGGGAATTGAACCCGGGTCCTCTGCAAGAGCAGTCAGTGCTCTTAACCGCTGAGCCGTATCTCCAACCCTGATTTCTGTGACTTTTAAAAAAAAGAATTGTGGGCCAATATTATGTTCCCTCATTAGGATGTTCCGCTTATTTTACGAACAATACACCCAGAGGTTCTAAGCTAGAAAAGCAAGATTCTTTAGAAACAATGGACTTAATACTGAAAGAGTCTTCTTAGCACCTTAGTTCCTCAGGTTCCCTATTTCCTTCTTACTTGCAGCCTGGACAGGTCCTGGCCCTGATTTGAGTGCCACTTTTACTCAAAGCTTTCCTTGAACACTGAAGGGTTTATGTGCCATGATCATCTGACTGGTGAACTTGTATCTTGCTTCCCTTATGAGGCTTAACACCCTTGAGAGTTAAGAACAGGGATCCTGAGAGTAGGTCCCTTTACATCTCTTTCATAGTTGTCCAATGATTTATCAACCTCAGCACAAGGCACAGAACTGATCCATATTAAGTATATGTAGCTAAAACTGATACAAATAAGAATTTTTTAAAAAATCAAATGGCTCTAACACTAGCTTTCTACTAAATAGTCATAGTATTAAACTGACTTCTAATGACTTATTGTACCCATAGATTAATGCATCTCTCAACTCTTACCAGAGAAGTTTCCTTACATAACAGGTAATAATTAACACAGAAACCCAAAATGGCCAATGTGCAGAGAAAGAACAAGAGGCTGCAATGTGCTTATCCTTGACTAGGACATCTATATCAAACTTCTACCTCCCAAGGTTCAGGGATCATTGTGGAAGAGGGGGCAGAAAGATTTTAAGAACGTGAGGTGATGGATAACCACAAGGAAACAGTTTTCCAGACAGCTGGTGAGTTATTCCCATGAACTCACACAATGACGATAGCATGCACAAGTTCCATGCAAGCTCAAACCAGACAAAAATCCCAGCATAGTCATGGGGAAGTGGGTAAGAAATCCTACTCCAACCTGAGGAAATTTTAGTAACCAGTGGCTGCTGGGAAGGGGAGAGACAGTCTCTTTCAAGGATGAGACTCTTGGTAGGTTAACCAGGCTCCAGTGGATGGACCCACACTGAAGGACATTTGGGAACACAAATTACACTCTATAGGTCTTATGTATGCACGCGCACGTGTGCACATGCACACGTTATTAAATTGGGTGGGGGACAATACTGGGAGGTAGGGCTAGGAGAGGGGATCTAAAAGAGTCGAAAAATGGAGGTCTGGAGAGATGGCTCAGTGATTAAGAGTACCTGGTATTCTAGTGGGGGACTAGAGTTTGGTTCCCAAGCACCTATATCAGGTGGCTCACAACTGCCTGGAACTCCATCTCCAAGGGATCTGATGCCTGATGACCTCTTCTGGCCTCCATGGGTACTCACATACATGTGAACAGACAGACAGAGAGACAGGGACACACACACACAAACACACACACACACACACACACACCAATAAAAAATATATTTTTTAAAGAACCTAGAGGATTGGGGGAGATGGCTCAGTTGGCAAACATGAGACCCTAAGTTTGGATCTCTAGCACCCAGGTAAAAAAGCCAGGCATGGCAGCATACTCCTTTGGAAATCCCAGCACTGAGGAGGTAGAACCAAGATTCTTAGGGCTTACTGGGTTACAGTGCAAGTACCAGGCCAGTCAGGCCTCCAGAGCAAAAGTCTGTCTTAAAAAGTCTAAACAAAGGAAAAAAGAAAATTCATCTAAACGCCTTTTACAGACCACTCTGTTCTATATGGAAGAGTTAACTTTAAGTTAGACACTATGAAATTAACTCTGAAAGGTGAAACAACTAACGGAATAAATGTAGAAAGGAGGGAAAATTCTTATACCTTATGCAAAACTACTGAATAGCTCTAAATCAACATTCTAACTTAATACATTAATGTAGATGACAGGGCATCAAAGACACACCAGGCTTGTCTGGATGGAGAGACGGTGCTTTGATTCCAAGACATAAGCAGAAAGTGACACTACAGAAGAGTGCCCCTCACTCAGAGGCAAATATAGAACAGACTTCCAACAGCAAGGTCCTTAAGTTCATGAGGGCTGAAACTCAAAGCACCCCAATGTTTTCACTTAGTTCAGTCCTGCTCAGCTACAGGAACTTCAGAGAGTTGAGCAAAGGTTTCTATCAGCATCTTTCCTTTATACCTTAAGCTCACTAAAAGAATCACCGACCTTTTCAGAGTAAGTGTTGCATCAGTTCTTCACCACGTCAAGATAGTAGGGTGGGGGGAGGAGGGACCAGAGATGTATAAGAGATTCTGAGGTTCATTTTCTTGATCTTTTTACAATAAAAAGTATAAAAATAATTGCTTTAGAAACAGTGTTTACAATTGCTGAGTTTTACAAGACAGATACAAAGCAAGGTAAGTGGCTTTTTTGTTTATCTCATCCATCACTTATCCAGCTTTGCATATTTATGCCAGGAACAGGGTTTAATTAAAGGCCCATATTGTCAACTTCTTTATGAATCTATTTAGGAATACTTTTCTCAAATTTTCAAGGAATAATATGTTTTGATTAAAAAAGATAAAATTGTTAATGTACCAAAATGTTCAAGCTTTTTAACCACTCTAAGAGAAAATAAGGTAGCTCTAAAACTGCTTATTTTAGCAAATGAAAGTAAGTCCTGCTTAGCTGTTACAATGCACACAGGTGTACTGTCTGGGCTGCCATGGATTGAAGGGCTCAGGTGGGCCTACACTTCCTGCCCCTCTAGGAGACAATTCTTTGGTCACCATCCCTTCTCAGCTGAGTGATACTAAATACCTGAGGGTTAAACTGCTCTGGTACTAACTGATTCCCAACCTCTAAGCCAATCACTTCCTAACCGTCTATTTCTAACCACCCCATTCCCACTTCTAATTTCTACCTTCAACATTCTAAACTCCTTCAATGTTTGGAATTCTTTCTGTTCACGACTGAGAAAAGAACTGAAGGTTCCTAAGCAAGCCTAACCAATAACTTATTTTGTTGTAAATATGTTACATTTGAATGGATTACTTCCATTCCACTACGCAGCTGTTTTGTCTCTTTCATCGTATCACATCACTTCCTGAGCATCTGCTCTGTGCCAAATACTGTACTAGACACCAAGAACACGGTGATGCACAAAACAGACCATCTTTGCATTGACAAGCCTTCCAACTCAATCTGATCTGCAGTTTTGTGGCTTTTCTGGTCACAAAACATAATAGAGAAACTACAGTGTTAATAAAGAGAAGGTGTGTTCATTCTTAAAACTCAGTTTATACATGTTTTCCCTCTTACAGCACTTAAGACTATCTCCAGAAGGGAGAACTATTTCAAGGAGGTAGAAAAACATCTTCAGGCTGAGATCATGAGCAATATTTTGTTGTACGTCCCTTCTTCCTCAAGACTTGAGGAAGGAAAGAACAATCAAACTGCTACATGAAGACAGTAAGATACTCTTCCTTTTGGTGCCAGGAAAACCCTGTTAGCTCTACTCACTTGGGAAGACCCTAAAGAGAACAAGGCAAAGGACCTACAACAAGCCTGAAGGGAAGGGAGACTGGGGAGTCAGAGCAAGACAATGTGAATGAAACAGGAAATGGAACCTGCTATGCTGTAGAGCACTTCAGAACAGGAAGATGGCCACATTCCCGGATGTGCTCCAATGGGCCCATTCTGGAGACTGCCGGCAAGTGGTTGGACAACTGCTAAGCCTCTGCTTCCTATTCAAGAGGCAGTTCTGAGTTTACTGTGTATCCCAAAATAATTTAGCAGTGGATATAAAAAAATATTAAGGAAAGAAGGAAAAGTAAAGAGGTAAAGCTCTCCTATGCCCATTTTCACTTAGGGGTATTCAACTACTTGGTTCCCTCTTCTTTAATGTGTTACTTGTTTAGTATGTGCTACTTTACTGCGACAGTCTCAGTTATTTTCACAAAATGGGAACATCAACAACAATGTACAAATGAAGTTAAAAGAAAGAAGAGGTAGCTGGGCGTGGTGGAGCACGCCTTTAAGCCCGGCACTTGGGAGGCAGAGGCAGGCGGATCTCTGTGAGTTCGAGGCCAGCCTGGTCTACATAGTGAGTCCCAGGACAGCTGGGGCTACAGGGAGACCCTGTCTCAAAAGGACAAAATAATAATAATAATAAGAACATTGGGGGCTGGAGAAATGGCTCAGTGGTAAAGGAGAGGTAAAAGAATTAACTTCCTCAACATATAAAGCCCCTCCCATAGCTAGGAAAGCAGAAGATTTAACCACATACTTGAAAATTCTTTTGCAAGAGCAACATATGGTTGGTTTTGTGCTACAGACCATGTGTGTTGGGGAAAGGAGCATTCCAGCCACT